AAAATGCAGACATTCTTCCATGTAATATACTTGCTTTCTCTAATTGCTTTTGTGAGGTGAGGAAAATCCCAGTTCTCATTTATTTGAAGTAAATATTTCTATTGAAGAGCCTTCACCTTGCCCATAAAACGCTATAAACACTGAGAGTTAATGAAAATCAATTTCCAATAGTGGTTCAAAATACAAACAAAAAACAACATAACAAGCAGATAGATATCATTTGGTAGCGAAAGAAAAATCATTGTAAAAAATGTCTTTTTTCTTAATTGTACATTCTATGAATAATAAATAGCTGACTCTGGAGATAACACATTTGTAAAAGTTCTTTTATCCAGACAAGGAGCAAACTAGTTTGTAAGAGATCATTTCTGATTTTATCATCAGAAAATGATTGTTAGGTCACAAAGTCACTTGCACCATTAAATAATTCAAGAATGCTACTATATTTGCACTTAAGTTAAACATTAAATGGAAAGTTGTATTACTTTGCCGTGACAGTCATGAAAGATTATTTCAGAGGTAATCACAGCCTGAAGGATACCTATAATGGGGCAGGCTGCTGACAGCAGTGTAGACCCCTGTGTTTTGGTGTTATCATGCTATTTCCCAGTATTGTCTTTTTCTGTAAGAATTCAAAGTCTTTGAATGCTACTTCACTTTTAAACAAAGTTTAAAGTGAAATTATATTAAAACGATTAGATTTTCTATCCTATAGGAAATATATAGAAGTGTTCATTATGCCTAATTGGTATTCTGAAAAATCTACAATTTGCCTTGTGCTCCTTCTGAAAGATGGCTGTGCCTAGACCATCCTGTCCCTAATGGTTGTATATCTGCAGTGCCGGCATATCTGCAGGCACAAAAATGGTGAAACATCTGAGAGATAAAACAAATCAGGAGGCACTTCAGGAACTTAATATGTACAGTCTGGAGCAGCGGTTGTCAACCTATGAGCTAAAGGGGCCTCAAATATGGCCCCTGACATCACAAAAGGGCAGCATATAATGTTCAATATATGTGATGCCTGAGAAGACTGTCAATAACTGCAGACCTAATAAAGAAAATGAGAGTCAGAGAGCGTGGACATGCTACATGTTTGTCTGGGGATATGGTAGTAAAACAATACAAAACTGTGAACATGTTACATGATGCTAGTAGAGATCAATGCTATACTCTAATCAATGTTCCTACTACAGACTGCTGAGGTCCAAGGGCCGCACATCTTATACCAAAGGGCTGCATGTGGCCCTCAGGCCACAGGTTGGGACAAGGGGTCTAGAGGAAAGAAGGGATAGGGGAAACATGAATGAAACCTTTAAACATATCAAGGTTGTGAATAAGGTTCAGGAGGGCAATACTTTCAATACGAAGCCAAGATCGGAAACATGGGGACATGACTTCAAATTAGCAGGAGGAAAGTTCTAAACTAACTGAAAGTATTATTTTACAAAAAGAGTAATTGATACTTGGAATAGATTTTCAGCAGAGGTAATGAGTCAGTCAACAGTAAGTAGGTTCAAACATCCCTAAGACCAACATAGTTCTATACTCAAAAAAGATAGCAAAAAAAAAGTATTCATTAAAAAAATTATGTAGAATCAACGGGCCACTTGTTTTTTCTGTTGTAACTCTTCTATTTTTCTTTAAGATCATCTAGGGCACTGCTGCCTCTGACGACAAGTCTCACTTGCCTTGAAAGGAGATATTGTGATGTCATACTCTGCTGGTTGCTGTTCTCCTTGCTGAAGAGAAAACTGCACTGGATGACCTACAGTCAAAGATGTCCCTGCTTCATTAATTCTGTAGCTTTGTGTTTTCTTCACCCCTACTGCTGCACTTTAAATATGCTCATGCCAGTCATCAGATCACCAGTGATGGGAGAAAAGGGCAGCTCTGTCATGAGGATGCAAAGCCCTGATCTTTTATCAAGATGGCTACTCCCACAGAGACCCAATGTGGAACAACCAATGATGGGTAAGAGATCAGCTGCTGAGAGGCTATTTGCACAATACTGGTTTCTAGTCCTTTATCCTCTGCTTGCCTTTTTTAAGCACAACGTCCGCAGGAGAGGTTTTTAACAGGGGTTGCTGTCACTAGAAGCTTCACTGTCCACATTGATGTGTCCCCTAAATCCGTACCTTTGAATTATGTACTATTAGAGATTAATATAATATAATATTGATGATATTGGTCAAGATGGACACACTCTAATTAAATTCAAACTTGTGAAGTGGACTACAGGGTTAATGTTTGAACGATTTGTTTATTCTAAACCAGTGATTTTAATGAATAAAAATAAGTGAGAGTTCTCAATAGACTTTTGTGCATTTGCTTATATATTTAGTAAAGTCAATCTGATCATGTAATAAATTAGTAAACATCATATAGTCTGCAACTTGGAACCAAATCTCTTTGCCGAGAGCAATGAAAAATAGCAGGCACTCCCAAGGCTCTGCATTTTGGCGTCGACCACTGTCAAAAAAGGGAATCTACTAAAAATAATGGCAAATATAATATGAACATTGTGGCATTAGTAATATCTTTTCCTTCAAGCTCAGCTGCCTTTTTTTAACCTATTTTTCTTTTAACAGCACAACACCATGCATTGCTTATTTTCCTTTGTGTACTCTTACTGGCATAACCAGCACCATTAGCATTAAATTCTTTTATGCTTCAGAACCTATGGAGATCATGTCAATTGTTTGCATGGAAAGCTTGCCCCCCTCTAGGTGTGCTCAGACACATAGGGGTTTATTTACTAAAGCTGGAGAGTAGTCCCCTATGCCACAGCACACAAAGGACGGACAGGAGAATATTTGGCTAATGTAGGGTTTTTACTATACGCATTATAAACTATGGCATTGAAGCTGGAAATCGGAAGACTAAAAATATCCTCCCTTGCAGTGGGCCTGCGTCTGCACTTCAAGAGATAACTGCTCATTATGCCTAGGAACTGTGAAAAGCATTTTTACATACCAGATTCTCCATTTCTGAACACTGCTTCTTATTGCCAGACAGGTCTTCTCCCCTGCACCCTGGCAGCCTAAGGTCCTCTGTTGTCATCAAGACCTGTGAAGGACACATATTCCTGAACAGGACATGAGAATGCTGAGGGACAATCCACTGCCTGAGTGGAAGGGAGCACCATTTGCCAAGGGGACCAGAGGATCAGGCAACTAAAAGTGCTCTTCTAGACTAAATAAGCAATTAACCTTTGCAGTTCGGAGGGCGGCCCCACTGTAGTGGATGACTTTTTTAATTTTTCGGAGTTCAACTTTGCCAGGAACATGGCCCTTTGTGGATATTCAAAATATATAATTTGGATGCAAGACAAAACATAACAAGACAAAGTTAAAAATGATGCAGTATATATTTTTTTCGATTTTAATATGTTGCCTTAAACCCACAACAGTAAAATCACGTTATATATGCAGTAAAGCATGCTTGTTATACTCACTGTGGAACCTAAGGGGTTAATCCTCTGCGTTGTGTAAAAAGGCAGTTTAATCCTGTCTCCTCTGATCCTCCACTTCTTCTACTGTCTCCAATCCATATGCTGATATTACAGAGCTCTAGGAGTCCCTCTGTACATGCTCAGTTTAGTGTGTATTGCTAGTTTTGCTAGAAAAAGCTTTTTTTTTTTTTCCTTTGGAAGGGTGCATGTGATCAACACAGGGCCAATCAACACTGTCCAGACACAGGGTCAGGGGTCAGGCAGTCTCACTGGACAGTCAGAGCAGAATGAAAACTCCTCCTACAAATTTTAATCAGTGCTCAGCTGCACACTGACAGATGTTGCAAGACTGCTGATGAGAAAAAGATGAGACCAGATATATAGTGAATGCAGGGTCCTGGGTTTAGTAATACTTCAAGCCAGACCTGAATCTGTATTCTCTTGCACCATTACTGTAACTGAAACTGAGTACTTCTCAAAATCTGAAATACTGGCAGTACAAACAAAAAACCCTGAACACTAAGACACGTTGTGCTAGAGCTGGAATATCTTCCTATGATAAATATGGCCCTAAGCTTCATCCACATGTCCTGCTTTTAATGATTTCTCAGTACATTTATTGTTGCATATGTTTTTTATTTATTTATTTATTATTAAATCTTTTAATAAACTTTCTTCCTAACAAAAGCACAGAAAAATAACATTTACGTCCAAAATATAACTATTCCCCTAAACTTTTGCAATCCCACCTCCCCACCCAAAACCCCTAATAATTTACCCCGGTCCAATTAGCTCTTCCCTTCTCTTTCCAACTTTCCATTCTATGCCTATGATCTTTCTCCTTGATCCTCACTTCCAACTCTTCCTTTTTCTTACTGTTCTTCCTTTCCCTCCAGCCTTTCTATTCCCTTCTCCTTATTCATGCTATTGCCTTACAGATCATTCCCTTTATTCTCCAGCTTCAAATCAGATCCCTGGGCCTCCCATTACTTCAATATATTTTATAGGTGCCTTGAAGTCATACCATTGGGTACTGGACTTTCCCTCCTACTATATTCTTCAGGGCCGTTTTCATTTCCTCTTGGGATACCCTTGTTCTAACAATACTAATTTTTCATTTGATATTTTTGGGAGGTCTGCCACATTTAAAAATTCCTATTGATTCCTCCTTTTTTCTTCCTCTGAAACTTTTGTGTTCCTAGGTTTTACATCATACATCCTACTAAGACGGACCTGGCCATAAGACACGCCTAGGTTTTAGAGGAGAAAAGCAAGAAAAAAAATATTCTGAACCAATGGACTGCAGACACAGTACAGGGGATGACCAGAGACTGCAGACACAGTACAGGGGATGACCAGAGACTGCGGACACAGTACAGGGGATACCAGAGACTGTGGACACAGTACAGGAGATGACCAGAGACTGCGGACACAGTACAGGGGATGACCAGAGACTGCGGACATAGGACAGGGGATGACCAGAGACTGCGAACATAGTACAGGAGATGGCCAGATACTGTGGACACAGTACAGGGGATGATCAGAGACTGCGGACACAGTACAGCAGATGGCCAGAGACTGCGGACACAGTACAGGGGATGACCAGAGACTGCGGACACAGTACAGGTGATGACCAGAGACTGTGGACACAGTACAGGAGATGACCAGAGACTGCGAACACAGTACAGGAGATGGCCAGAGACTGCGGACACAGTACAGGGAATGACCAGAGACTGCGGACATAGTACCAGGTATGACCAGAGACTGCGGACATAGTACAGGGAATGACCAGAGACTGTGGACATAGTACAGGGAATGACCAGAGACTGTGGACATAGTACAGAAGACCAGAGACTGCAGACAGTGCAGGGGATGACCAGAGACTGCAGACAGTAAAGGAGATTACCAGAGACTGCAGACCTTTGGGGAGGGAGGGGGAGTGGGTTCTGTGACAGCCAAGTGCCCACTGCGCATATGCGAGAAGCGCTGCACTTTGTGAATGGCCCAGAGCCTTCTGGGACCTGTTATGTGTCCCAGAAGACACCGGACCATTCACAAAGCGCGGCGCTTCTCGCGCATGCGCAGTGGGCACCCGTCTGTCACAGAAGCCGCCGCGGGAAGACTGCAGCGCTGGAGCGAGGAACAGGTAAGGTCCTGCAGGAGAGAACAGCTGAGCGGCCGGCCCGGTATTCTGACATGGCGGCAGCAGAAATACCGGACTGACTGCTTTACATTCGCTCCATAAGACGCACTGACATTTTCCCCCCTTTTTTGGGGGGAAAAAAGTGTGTCTTATGGAGCGAAAAATATGGTAGTTCTTTGATTTCTTCTCCTTAAGTCTTTTCATCAAATATTTTCCTGGCTTATTTCACCACTGGTATCTTTCCTTTGAACCCCTATTAAAGATCTTCCTTGATTCCTGTTCCAGAAGGTCTTTTAACTCTTCTCTTTTAAGTATAATCTTCAAATAAACCTCTATTCTTGTCTCTTTTTATGTGCTTGTTCTAACCTATATAGCTCCTCCATCACCTCCTTAATTTTTCTCTCCCATTCTTTCTTTTTTTTAGTTCCTGTGGCAATCAAGATTCCCCTCACGTACTACTTATGTGCTTCCCAAATGGTGGCCATAGAGACTTCCGCGGTTTCATTCAGCAGAAAAAATTGTTCTATTTGCTCCCATAACCTCCCTTCTACTTCAGGTCCTGTATAAGCATCTCATTCAATCTCCACATTGCCCTTTTGTTACCTTCTCCTCCTACCTTTAGTCTCGCAGTGACAGGAGCATGATATGAGATAGACATAACTTCAATATTTAATAAATCCAATTGTCTATGCTCGATCATAATATAATCCAACTGTGAGTATGGTCTATGAGCAAAGGAGAAGAAGGTATAATCTCTTTCTCTGGGGTGTTTTACCCTCCATGCATCTATTAACTGACTTTAATATAACCTCTTTTTCAACATTCCTAATTTTTTACCTCCTCCTCTCTGCGCATTCTAAGACGTATCCATCCATGGATCAAGACAAAAATTAAAATCTTCTGCCAAGACCAGAGTTCCCCTTTTAAACTCCGCAATTTTCCCCAACACTTCATACAGAAAAACCACTAGATTTTGATTTGTGCAATAAATAATTTGGTTAATAAATATTAACCAAGGTATAATGTTGTCCCCACATATGTTTTTATTATGTGTCCCCTTGCTCATGGGTAGTTTTAAACAAATCATACACAATAGTTTTATAAAGAGCAAACTAATATCCAAGTTTTATCACTCATAGATACTAGGTGGCAGTTCTATTTCCATTCCATGAAGGGAGCATTCGCTATAACCAAACTCATCAAATAACTTCAGAAAAGATGCCCATATATTGCCAGTGAAGAAAATGTCAGAGAAAATGCTCACCATTAACACTGATAAATAGCAAGCACACCATTTCTATAGTGAAATTCTGAGTAATTTTTTCTATTAAAGGATTGTACAACTAGTATTAAACCACAGCTAGAATGATATTAGCACAAATGATGAGTCCATTATTGCCCATATATATCTATTTTTAAGAGCTGGAGAAAAATGAAATGGAGAAAAAAGTTGTATGTTACCCATCTTTTATAAACAGACCAGTTTGTGTTGTAAGGAGTTGTCATGGGTTTTTGCTAAGAGTAAAAAAACAAAGGAATGACCAGTCTTTTTTTTGTCCATTAAAAAGACATCTGCGATTTGGCTATAAGATACCCAGTTGTTGCCCTGGAGATTGCCCCAAGGGTGATATTTACAGACATGTGATTGTTGATCAGACAAACTAATAAAGGTAGTTGGTCAATTGAAACTATTAAAGGAAGGTCAAGGTAGGCAGCAGACAGGTGTAACAACAAGACAGAGAGTATACCTTAAGGTATAGTAATACTTTCATTCAATGGCTAGCAGTGGGGATGGAGGTGAAAGTGTTATGAAGAAGGATCCCCTTTCTCAAGAGTTCTTTTTGACTGCAATTTATACGTTAACCCTTCTTGGAATTGAAGGATTAATATGCTATCAGATGCACTCTGTCTGGTTATTGATTGTAAATATTGGTGGGATCTTCCAGACTGTTTGTTTATGAAAGCTGCAGGATGGTTTTGGTAATCAAATTGCACTGTGATTCACATTCAGAATTCCTCCTATGGCTGACAGCTTGAGGTTTGAATGTGTGTTCAGATTCTGGAAAACGTCATTTTTTTAACTAGCAGACAGTCGTAGCCAGGAAGCAAGTTGAAGGTTTAAGCACGTGGCAGACAAAGTTAAGAAGATCAAACCAAAATGGCAATCAAGATCATCAAACAGAGTACCGAATAGAGATGATCTCTACTAAACAGAGATCAGTTTATTTATACTTGCTCAATCCACTGAATTTAGTGAACTGGTAAAGTAGTCCAATAATCCTTTACCAGGATAATTTCAATTAACAGGGCAGCAGTATACTATTTTACAGATGGATTTGTGTCCCATCATACCCTACAGTTCTAAAAACATTTGGTACTGCTAGATCCTAACAGCAGGGAGACTTCTCTGCCATCAGAATACGCCTTTCAGGAGAGCCAGCTGTAGTTGGCAGCACTGATCAAGAGAAATTTTTTCCTACTATCAATCAATGGATAGACTTGTCTACAGCCAGTATGCCCATACAGGGATCAAAATTCTGCCACATTTTGATTAATGTATGGCCAGCCTATGATGGCAAATTCCTTCTCTGTAAAGAATTGGAAGGTTTAAATCTACTTTACAGAGAAGAAGCCCAAGGGTTCTCTGTATATAAGCTTCTTCTAAGGGAAAGGCAGAGGCCTGTTACTGTACGCTAGTTAATTGGTCCTTTGGATCAATTTTTGCTAGTTCAAATTGTTGATTCCATTCTGTTAAATCATCCATCAAGTGGACATTTTATTACGCTCTTATCTCTACTAGTGATGCTCTCAGGAACTGGCAGAAATATTTTTGTTTTATGTGCACTGTGCAAAGAAGATTTTACGTTGAGCATCCAGGTAACATCATAGGCATGTAGGCAGCATTGCTGCACAAAGGACCAGACTTCAACATGCAGATGTCAAGGGCTTGTATCTAAAAAAAAAACATGGACAAAATTAGAAAATGCTGCTGGAGTAGCTCTTTATAAGCAAGTAGTCTTCTATGTACAGTACTTTATTTTAGGTACCATATACATATATTATTTGTATTTTTCTTTAACCAGGCTTTAAACTAACTGCACTAGTTCTATTACACTGCAGAACAGCCAACTAAGAAAATTGCCAGAAAAGCATAGAAAAATCAAGTATTTTAAATGCTTGCTTGCAGTATTTTTCCTTTCTATAAATTATGTTTCTAGTCACCTGCAATGTTTCTAGAAAATCTGACTACTCTAGAAAGTGTAAATTTCATAACACAGACCCCTTCATTCTTGTATGTTATAGCCCTCTCCCTTTCTGGGAGTGTCTAACTACTATATGCGTTGGCCATGCTACTCTGTCACCCTATCACCTCTATACATTACCTTTTATGTAACATCCTGGAGGAGTGAAGGAGAATGATATAGGGCAGGGGTCTCCAAATTGCGGCCAGGGGGGGGGGTCAGAGGCGGCGGCCCTTTGCTTGCTTTTATCTGGCCCTTGGGGAACTATTTCATCTACTGATACCAACAATTGGGTATAATTTCCCCCACTTCCCCACACCAATGAAGTGGGCACAACTCCTTCCAATGACAATTCCTCTCATTGACACCAAACAATGGGGCATTATTTTATGCCCACTGATGTTGGGACTTTTTCTACTACCACTGGCCACAGTCCAGCCCTCCTAAAGTCTGAAGGGCAGTAAACTGGCCCTTTGATTAGAAAGTTTGGAGACCCCTGATATAGGGTGTCATTTGCGTCTGCTGAGGCTGTTAACATCAGATCCAAGATGGAGGCAACAGCTGCACTCTCAGGGATATACAATGTCTATGTAATATAATGTTTTTCAGGTGAATAACAAGATTAAAACATTTTAAACGAGAAGATTTTTGTTGGAATAAATGACCTGCTGACAGGGAACTTTTGAGGCTTGGAACTTTTAAGGCTCAAAAAAAAAATTCTATATTTAGTTAAAGTGATTTTTTTGTTAGATTGGACCTTAAGAAAAGCCTTTGTATGCCCAACGCATCTTTAAAAAAGCATTTCTATACAACAAATAAGTTAGGTTAGTAATAGGACTCATCAATATAATTTGCTTTTTTTTAGACTGACTATCTAATTACCTTGAGCAGCGGAAGAAAATATTATAAAGCATTACTATGTAGTACATTTAACAAAAAGCCTTTTTCACAAGAAGAAACCTGGCAAGTGGAACTAATAACAAATTGTTTTCAAAAGGCACCACGTATTACAACTGAAACTAAAAGTAATTAAAATTTAAATGAATGTCTCCTACCTGTTTGAAAAGTTGCTTGTCAAGTGACAACTGGAGAGTCTAGGAGGGAATGAAAACTGATTACATACAAATCAATAGCACCCAAAGGAAGTTTGTTGGGTCCTTAGCATCAAAGTAGCTTTTGTGATAATGCTATCACATACTATGAGTACATGGGGGAGCAACACTTTCCTATGTACTGTACATGAACTAATGTAAAAGCAAAGCTCAAGCATGTTTTCAAATTTATCTTTCACTGATTTGATTTTAATCACTCTATAATAATTGCATCATTCTCGTAAGTAGCCACCCCCACAATCTTGTTTTCCATTTCATTAAGTTTGCAACTACCAATCTGCTGATTTTTTTTTCCTCTTCTTCTTTTAATCTTTTTTTCTACATTATGGTTTTCTTTTTAGGGCATCCTGAATCTATTTGTCCGGTATTTGTAGGTCCAATGCACCATGCAACAGGACGTTTTAAAAACTCTCCTCCTCTTGGCAGCAGTGTTTTGGTAGAAAGAACACCTGCCGCTTGAAAAGTATCTAATGCTTTTACAAGCATTTAGGTGCATTTACAGTTGCCAATCACTTGGGTGTTAGTTCATTTATTTGGCCAGAATAATAAT